GAACCCCACCAGCCCTGAAACCATGAAATCTCTGCTGAAGCGCACAGTATAACAACTACGAGAAAAGGAGGCCTCCACAGGGGAGAGAGGGCCTGGGGCTCCAGCTTTACTCCATGCACAGAATCACAGAACATCTATCAAGGCAGGAAGTGTCCTGGGACGTCCTTGGTGACAGCTTCAGCCAAAATCTCAGCAGGGGTGTCCACTGAACACACTCAAGCTAAGGCAGGCTTTCGGGGGGGGGCACTTCTATAGACACCCTGAGGAAGAACAGTCCACCCCATCCTGAGGATCTGTCCCACTGGCAAACAGCTCTTATAGCCAACCCAAAACCACTCTTTGTAACCTAAAGCCCTGGCTTCTGGACAATTTTTTTCCTGCCTGCCAGGCCACGATATCCTCCGTGCAGCCTGACTGTGCAGAGAGCACCTCTGGCTACTCTGGCTGTTGACATACAGAAGGAGCCCCAGTTTGCACCCACTTTTTCTTCTCTCTGCTGGGGTCAGTTCCCATCCAAATGCAAGATGCTGCCTTTGTCCCTGTTGGAATCCCCCCTGCCTGCTTTGGCCCCTTGTTCCAGCTTGTCAAGATCTTCCTGAGCTCTGATTCCGTCCTCAGATGTTTTCTTTTCTATCTCCACAGTTCAACCCTGGGCGGTATATTTTTCTTCTCCTGGAATCCTCCCATCTTTCTGTTGTCTGCAAATATTTTGTAATGCCTCCTCCAGGCCATTTGTAAATATGGAGAAGAGCCCAGGGCCTAAAGAGACCGTCACAGAGCCACACAACAGCACTAATTGTTCAGACAGCTCTGGGTCCGGCTAATCATAGGCTAATCCAGCAACATTTTGCCAGTTTCTCTATCAAAAACTCACAGAAAACTTCTTTAGTCACCATGTCCACAATTCTCCTGTGGTCAACTGAAGTCTCAGTAGCAAATATAATTTGTCATGATTTGTTCTTGATACTATAAATCCATGCTGACATCTGCTAAGCAATAGCATTCTTTTCCAAATGCTGACGGCTTAATAATTTGTCCCCAGATTTTGTCCAGTATCAACATCAAGCGAACAGGACTTATCTAGGAAACTCCTGCCCTCCCCTCTTCTGAAGCCAGCTCCATCCCTCTCTCGGGAGAAGAGCTGAGCCACGCAGGAGCAGTCTGCCTTTCTCTTTCCTGCAGACCCAGCTCAAACGCTCTTTGTGATGCACTTCACTCTTGTGAGGCTGGTTCTTTGTACTTTGAACGCCTTTCTGACACATTCAAAGTACTGCAAATTTCAGCTGTTGCTGCTGCTGCTGTCCTCACCTGGAGAATCACAGAATCACCTTGGTGAATTAGGAAGCGAGAGGTTGCCAGCGGCGTCCCCACGATCTTTTGTTAAGGCCATCCGTGTGACAGCATGACACTTGCAGGAAAGGGGCAGAGCTCACAGTACAACACTGCTTTTGTCAGTCTGACCCCCTGGTCTGCCCCAGAGGTAGCTGGCTGCCGCCGAATCCTGCTGCTTCTTCTCCAAAACTCAATTGGCCAGTCGGGAGACACCCAGATATACGTCAACTCACTTAACTGCAGAGGAGCTGAACCTGGTAACCTGCGTCCAGCACCAGAGGCAATTAAACTGGCCGCCCCCTCGCCCCCCACGCCTCCAACATGTGCTGCCTTATTGCCAATGCCAGGGGTTCCAAGAAGCATGGCAGCAACTGCCATCACCATCGCCTTGGTAGAGCCCAGAGCTCATGACTTCCAGAAATCAGGCTGGGCATGCAGGGCTCGATTTTAAAGCCTGCTTTCCTGTGGCCCAGAAATGCCCCCCACCCACTTTGGCTGCACCCATCGGGGGTCTATTCCCAGTGAAAGGTCTGACAGACACGGGGACCAGAATTTAACACGGTGCAGAGCAAATCTGTGGAGGAAGGGAGGGGTCCTTCCGCCAAGCCATTTTTCTGGATGATCTGAGAGTGAGAGGAAGCTCTTCTGCTCGCTCTCCCCACCTTCTGGACCCCCATTTTCCACGAGGGCTGTGCTTATGTGACACACTCGGCCAAGCCAGTCATAAACCCAGCATTGCATTTACCCAGCACTCCAAGATAAGAGTGATTAGATGCCTGTGTTCAATGCATTTGTGGTTCAGGAGGTTGTGCTGTGTTGAGGGGGCAGCAGCCAGGCCAGGCGTTCTCCATCAACTCCCCTCTCACTCTTTTCCCAGCATGAGTCAGTGGGTTGGTCACTCCCTCCCAGCAGCCTCACCTGCCCCCTCCCCAAACAGGTTGCTCCCCACCTGCAGTCTTTCCTTTTCAGCACTGAAAGGCTTCTGAGTCAGGAAGCTCCCCAACGTTTTCCCTGCCAGCTTTTCACCCAGCCATTTACAGCAATCCTGACTCCCCCCCCCTCCGATTTCCAGGGTCAGCACAAAGCCCACGGACATCATGGACAGCCACGCTGGGCTCTAAAGCCACGTTGGACCCCCTCTTGGCTGAGAAGCAGTGCTTGAATAGCAAAGCTGCAGGAATCTTCCAGGAATTTTGGCCCGCCCCAACCCCACCGTGGCTTATGTGCCCACATCTTCTGAAGCACACAATGTTAAGAGGCCACAGAGGGGAAGCCAGAATGAGCAGTGTCACCTCTTGCTGTGTGAGCCATTAACTGGGCATGCACACCCACGCACAGACACACCGCTCAGAGCAAACGTCAGTGGAACCAATCTGAAAGCTGCCCCCCCACCCCAAATGCCTGAGTTTGAATCCACAGAGCTGAGAATTCAGCTGTAGCCAAAGGGCCAGCAAACAATGAGCCAAGAAAGAGCTGCTTTTGCAGGAAGCCTCCACTCTGGGCAGAGCGGCCCCTCGGCCACCTGTCTTGCTGGCACTAGCCAAAGCAGGGGAGGGGGAGCTGCAAGGAACAGGTCCAGCTGTTGACCAATGAAGCAGCTGCCTCGGGACGGGATGGCTGGGTTCTTGACTGGCACTGGATGGCCATCTACGGCAGAGGCTAGAGTCCTACACCGGCAGCCGTTGGACCAGATCATTTCCAGGCCTCCCACATTTGTTGAATTGGCTGGACAGAGTCCCTGGCAATCCCTTTCCTAGAATCCTGGATAATCTCAGTTATGTTGGAGCCATTACACAATGCAAAAAGCCCTGGACTTTCCTGACCCACTTCATAGAAGCCAGGAGAGAAGGGATGTGAGCTGCATACAAGAAGCGACTTCTGGGTGCTCAAATGCTCCCCCAGAAAGTCCCAGTCCCAAATCACAGGGCTGGGCTAAGACTGCTAAGACTAAGCACTCCGGACAGCAAGACCACAACCAGAGGAGAATCTCCATCCCAGGGCAACGTTGAAGAATGAGGGGCTTGCCAGGGGACACAGGACCTGCCCACAGCAGCCTCCCAATCCCAAGCGCACCAAAAACACTGAGCCCCACTTCAGGGAAGCCAAAGCAGACAGGCTAAGCCACATGAGCACCACAAACCACACCAGAAGCAGGAAGACTTGCCACAGGGGTGGCCAGCAGCCTCTCCCTGCAGCACACACCGGCTGCAGCTCCCCCACAGGGCAAAGAGTCTGGAAACAGAATGGGCCCCTCCAGTCTCTGCACATGATAGACAAGGCAGCTCCTGGTTTGAAGCCCTTTGTCCCAGGGGCCATGTTGGATGTGGCTAGATGCAAACTGCACATCAGAAGGGTGAAAAGGTGCCTCTCCCCCCCCCAAGCGCAAACGAAGAAGAGCCACAGGGACCCTTTCAGACTTCGGGCAGCAAACACAGACATACAAACACACACAAACACAGCAAAGCTATCTTAAGCAGTGTGTAAGGATGCAGGTAAGCACTTCTTCCTGCCTCTTGTCACCCATCTGGCCCTGGGGAAACCCCTGTTTTTAGTGGGTCTCTAACTCCTTCCCTGGTGCCCCTCGGGAGGGCTGAAAGGTAGGCACAGAAAGTGAGCAGGCAGCTGAGCAAGGAATGCAGCTGTGGGCCGCCCACCCCACCAAAACTCAGCACCAAAGGCCGCCCCAGTAGCCCCCCTGGGCCCCTCTGCTCCCCCAGACAGAGAAGCCACAAGGATGCAGCCTCTCCTCCTCCTCCTAGAAGGTCTCCTGGGTTCCCCCTCCTTCCTCAGCTTTCAGGGCCCCGGGAGAGCCGTCAACTTCGGGAGGGCCGGGAGAGCCTTGTGCCGGGGCTCCTCCACAGGCTCCGCTGCACGGCTCAGGAGCGACCGAATGACCCGGGCAGCCTTTTCCAGCAGCTGCCAGCCCCAGAGATGGCACCTTCGACCCAGACGCCTCTCCCGGAATCCCCCGGGAATCCGGGAAGAGGCAGGCGTTATCTTCCGGCCGACGGAGCGTCGCGAAGCCAAGCAGCGCCCCCCCCCCCCTTGCAAGGGGGGAGATTTCCAAGCGGTGGGCAAAGGCATGGAGAGGCGGGGGGCCGGGGGGGAGCCTGTCCCAAAGCGGCCAGGGTTGCTCCACAGCCTCGACTTCTCCCTGCTGCCCGCCTCCCCCTTCCCGGAGCAGCTCCCTCTGGGGCCCCTTAAGAGACGGAGAGGCTCCTCGGGGCAGGCAAGCAAAGGCCTCCTGCCCTCCCGGGGCTGCTCCCTCCCAACCCTGCCCCGCAGCCCGCTTCTCTCCGCACCGGGGGTACCTGGGCGAGTGCCGGGAAGCAGGAGGCAGCTGCCGGGTGGACCCGGCGCTCCCCGAGCCACCAGCCACCGCTCGCGGCCGGGCGAAAGCGGCCGAGCCGGGGAGCTTGGCCACCTCCGCGCGCCCGACGGACCGGCAGCCGCCTCAGAGCCGAGCGGGGCCGTTCCGCTTTCCGAGCCGGGCGGCTGTCCAGGCGGGCGGGCCACTCGCACACCTGCGGACCGGCGGGGGCGCCAAGCGGCTCCTGCTGCGCGCAGAGGCACCGGCGGCGCTCGAATGGCCCGGCTGGAGAGACCGCGGAGCTCCGTGCTTGCAGCCCAGCCCGCCTCCCCCCTACGCCCGCCGCCCGCCGCCTCACCTGTACCAGTCGAGGCCGTGGCCGTAGTTGCGGTCGAAGAAGTGGGGCTCGGTGCCCACGGCGCGGACGTCGGGGTGCGCCCGGAGCGCCTCCAGCAGGGCGCGGGTGCCCCCCTTCTTCACCCCGATGATCAGCGCCTGCGGCAGCCGCTTCTCGCCACAGGCCGGCGTGGCCGTGGCGTCCGCCAGCTGGTCGGCGGGGGCGGAGGTGCTGGCGTTGCCGCCGCCGGGGCTTTCGGCCGCTCGCCCGGGAACGGTGGCGGCGGCGGCCGGAGGGCTGATGGCGGCTGCCTGCGCGGTGGCGGCGGCAGAGCTGCTCCGAGCCGCCGCCGACACGGCTTCTGCTCTGCTGCTGCTTGGGAGCCCGGCGGCGGCGGCGGCGGCGGCGGCGAGGAGGTCGGGGGCTGCGCGGGGGGCGGCCGGGCCGGCGGGGGGCGGCGGGGCTGGGCGGCGGGGCGGCGGGGCTGGGGGAGCCCTGGGCGGCCAGCGGGGAGCGGAGGGTGCCGGGGCCGCCCATGAGGCTGTAGCAGGCGTAGGTGAGGCAGAGCGAGAGGCTGCACATGCAGAGCAGCTTGCGGGCGGGGGGGCCCTTAGGCGGGGGGGCCATGCCGCCTGCCCGCGCCCAGCCCCGGCCGCATCGTGTCAGCCCGCCGCCGCCCCCCCGGCTGCAGGGGCCGCTGCCGCCCGCCCGCCCCGCCGCCGCCGCCGCTGCCCGAGGGGAGCCCCGCATGGCACAGCCGCCCCGGCTGCCGCCTCCCGCACGCTGCCCGGGCGCCCCTGGCCAGCCAGCCACGCCGCCGGCCGGCCCAGGCTCCGCGCCGCGCCAGCTGCCCGAGCAGGGAAAGTTTCGGCCGGGGTCGAGGCGAGGCGGGGCGGGGCGGCGGGGCGGGGCGGGGCGGGGCCAGGCGGGACGCAACGGGCGGCGGCGGCGGCGGCACTTGGGCTGGTGACGCCGGCCGGCCGGCTGGCCGCCTCCTGAAAGGCTGGCGAGGGGAAGCCCCGCCCCCGCCGCCGCCCCCCTCCCCGCCGCCTCCAGCTCCGCCAACCCTGCGCAGGCAACCTGGAGGGGGCGGGGCTGCTGGCATCGCGGGAAGCGGAGGCGGGCGACGTGTTTCGGGGCTCGTGCAAAGTGCGGCGGCAGCTGCAAAAGCGGCGCTTGGGCCCCATCGCGCAGAGGGCGAGCCCTGCCCCGTCTTGGCCCCCCTCCCTCCGTCGCTCTCCCTGCCAGCGCTGGGCTGCCTCCTCCCTTCCCCAAGAGCCGCGAGGGCCGGCGGGCAGAGCTTGGCCACCTGGGCCGCCTCCGAGCCCAGCGTCCAGGCTGCTGCGCTGGCTCCGCGGAAGCGCCCCGGGAGGCTGAGCGGCAGGCGCAACGGCTGGCTGCTCTCCTGGGCCTGCAGATGCAAGTCACTGCTGCTGTCGGGGGGGGGGCAAGCCAGGTGCCGCCCTTTGCTCAGCGGGGAGGCTTCCCTTCTGAGCTGCTGCTGGTACTGGAAGCCTCCGGACTGTGGAGTCGGGCGGCCTCGTGGGCCTCGTGGGCAGGTCTGCCTCCTGCTGCTGGGCGGGGCAAAGAGCTTGCCCCCTGGAGCCCCCCTGACTGGCGCTTCCTTCCTCTTCCCCTACTGGGCGAGTGGGGAGGAGGGGGCTCTGGAGTTCTCCCCCTTCGGTTATCTGCTCTGTCCTGCAAAAGAGGTCAGGAGGAGAAAAGCCTGGGACTCCCCCGAAAGGCACCGTGGGGTAGGTTGGAGCTGCTGGCTTCCAGGCAGTGTATCCCTCCTGGACCCTCCACCCTTTTACTCAAAGTGCCTCTTTCATCAGCAGCCCCGGGAATCCAGCCTGGAGGGTTTGTAGGAAGTTCCTTTTCTAGAAATGAAAAAGAGGGCGAACGCTCCTTCCTTCCCAAAGATCAGTGGTTTTTTTTAAAGTATCGGACTCTGTAATTTACCCAGACCAGAATGCAAGTATTCCTGATGGGCCTGCAACTTCACAGGTGCCTGGCCCCCTCCGCCCCCCCCCCACAAGCCCATTGGGCCACAGAAACCAAGGAATTCGTGCCAAGCAGCCCCGCCCAATGGTTTGTGCCCCAATTACTCGGAAGAAAAAAAGCAGGAATGGAGTTGGCCTCATCAAGGGGCAGAATATTTCAGGGCCTTCAGCTCTCCTGCTCTGGGATGGCTTCACTTGGCTTTTTTTTTTAGCTTCCCTTAAAAGTCCCCTCATTCCCACAGCATGTGAGCCAGTCCCAAGCTGGACACAATTCAGCCTGTCCAAGGAACGTCTTCCCAACAGACTTTGGTGCCTGTGTCCAGGATGAGCCTGTCAATCATCATCCCATCCATTACTGAGTCTTAAGCAGCTGTCTGGCACTCGGACAATCTTCTCTGCTTCCAGAGAGAAGACAAACACTGCTGGGAGTCATCCATGCATTGGTAATGTCCAGAGTCCTCAATATCCTTATTCAGCAGTTTTTTTTGAAGAGCCCCTGTTGCCTGAAGGGCAGGTAGAACCTGTGGGCTGCCAGATTTAGAAATTGTCTCGTACAAACAGCTCCCACCCCCCAAAGAGGGGAACAGGCCAATCCATCCCACCATGGTTGCCCTGAAGAGCTGCTCCAGAAGGATGCCCTGATTTGGTGGGGGGAGAGCCAAAACCAAAGGGCCGCGCAGCCTGCAGGGTCTGGAAAGTCCCACAGAGTGACCAGGACAAGGCCGGCTTTAGGCCTGAGCCTGAATTAAAAGAGCTGTTCAGAATCTGTCTCGTCCAAGTCAGCCTGGTAAGTCTACCAGCCAGAAAGTCCTTCTGGCCCTGAGCGAGTTGACTCTGTGGCCCCTGGAGCCCCTGGCGGCACTTGCCACCGCCTGCTTCCAAACGGTCTGCAGCTTCTAGGAGACCTGGGGAGACAGCAGAGGGCACGTTAGTCCCCCCTGGAGAAACAAAAGGAGGCTGTTCCCTACCATCCCAGTTCTCCCTAAATTGGGAGCTGGCATCCACACCCTTCCCTGAGGGGAAAAAAAAGGGGGGGGTGGCAAGTACTGAAAGGTAGCGGATAAAAGCGAGGAGGACTAGGGAGGGCAGAAGATGTGGGGAGAGGAATGCCAGGGGAACAGTCGGCCCCAGAAAAGGCAGAGACCCGGGATCAGGTAGCTGCCCTCAAGTGGAGGGCCAGAGATAGAAAACGGTTCAGTTTTGCTTTTGAATTGATCGTTTTCAGCCAGACCTTTAATTGGTAGACCTGGAACGCATTACGGTTCACGGGAGTGTCAGAATAGCTGGTTGCGCTTCTGAAGAGCCGGTACAATGAACAAGAACAGCCCGTTGTACAGGCTGGAGTGGAGGAAAAAGAAGGTTCAGAATAGAAAAGAATGAGCAGCCCTTATAAAAATAAAAATGACGTGAAAAATCTGGTTGAATATTGACGACCAGAAGTAGAATGAAAGACAAGGAAATCGAGAAGGTTGAGGCAACGAGTGGCCCTCAGAAAAGCTGTGGGGGACCCATGAGGGCAGGTCGAGATGGCCAGGCAGCCACCAGGGTTGGGTGCACCCAGCTTCCTGCCTGAATTCGGCAAAAGAAGACCGTCTACATGTGGGGAACCCATTGCAGGGACTAAGAGGCCCTTCAAGAAATCTCTCTCTCCTTTTTCAGTGTAGCACAAAGAAGCCCTTGAGCCCAGCCACGGCCAGTCTTTGCGCCAGTCTTTGGTGCCACCAGTGCTCTTCAAGGTGTGCGGACGATGAACAACCCGTGGCCTTTTTGATCATGCCAGGGGTGGTCTTGGGAAGGGAAATGCTGCTGGCAGTTGGCGCAACCATCTGCTTCATGCAGTTTCCCCATGCTCCAGTATTATACATAAATGCCTCTTCATCTGACAGGCAAGGAGCCCAGTGGGCACTGCGAGAGCTGCCAGGGAGCCCAGTGGTGCTTCCAAGCAGGCAGCGTTTGGGACCCTCTCCCTCAGTGCTGGCAGATTCATCCTTTCGCCAGTCAAAGGGTACAGAGACCCATGGAGGAAGGGCACCAAGGTCTGGTGCAGGGCTTGTGAAGCAACCCCCCCACCACGGCCATGTCACCAGGAGCCTCCGGAGGTCAGCCCCAGCATGGCACCCCCTCTCTCTAGCCCCGAAGACCCCTCTTGCTGCCCCATGGGATAAGGGGACATTCCTGCCAGCGTTGTGCTGTGTGGCTGCCAAAAGCCCCTTGCCCCAGGGGGAGAGAAGAGCCCCAGCCTCGGGGGGGGGGGAGGACAGTCTTGGTGCGGAACCCCCAAGTGCATCTCGCCACTTCATCCCCAAGAGGCCACGGAGGGGGGCAGACAAGACAAGCCGGGAGCCGATTAATTTTTTGACTGCGCTGGCAGCTGCCTGCTCTTTTGGCCATTGCAGTAAATAAATGAAGCCTTTCGCAGCTCAGCAACAGGCAGGAGTCTGGCTTCATCTTGTTTCTGCCGCTGATTTATGACATGGCCAGTAATTTAAACATCTCCGGAGATCTCGGGAGTTGCTGCTTGGTACAGCATGGAAGGGAGAGGCTTTCGCTCTCCTGCCAACATCGCCCCCACCTGACGCACCACGACCCAGCGCCCCGCGTGAGAACCCAGCCGTTCTCGGGGAAGACCGGAAAAGAGCAGAGCTTCAGTGAAGACGCCCCCCCCCGCCTTCCCCACAGCTCTTGTAGGCTCGGGGGGGCTTTGGGGAAGCCTGTTCTGCAGAGCTAGCCCAGAACTCTGTGCCAGCCACATACCAGGGCAGTTGGCCCAAAGAGCCCTTCCATTGTCAGCCAGCAGGTCTGGGGGAAGCTGAGCTGCCCCTGCCTCCCTCAGCACCTGCAGAGCAAAGTCCTGGTCAGCCTGTCCTGGGGGAGCCCTCTGCCGTTTTCTCCCTTGAGTGCACCTGGCAGCAAGGGCCGGGGAGGGCCTCTCTCCTGGCACTTGGTCCCCCCGACTTCCTTCATGCTTCAGTTCCAATCCCAGAGGGCTGGCCATGACTTCAAGCTGGCAGAGCCCGCCTCCAGCTGGGTTCCAAAGCCTTCCTTGCAGGGTGGGGGGCTGCTCTGGTAAAGCTGCTCTCTTGCCAGCTCTCATCTGCAGGGGAGCAGCACTGCTCAATGAGGAGCCCCAAACCACCATGGGGCTGCTGCACTCCGTTGAGCCCTTGGGGCTTGGATGGGGGGCATTCTCCAACTCGGGGGTTGCTTTTCTGCATCCTATCCAGCCTGTAGCCCCTCCTCTCTTTTTGCTTTTCCCCTGGGCTGTGGGGTTCCAACATGATGGGTGCTGCTGCCAGAGGTAGCCGGGGCAGAAGGAGCTTGGAGGGCTGGATCTGGCTGCTGAATTGACTGGCAGGAAAGCTGAAGAGGGAGGGGGGTCCAAAGGGGGGCAGCTGGTCCCTGAAGGACCCTCTCTGGTTCAGTTGGGCTGCTCCTTGCTGCGTCCCCATCAGCCCAGCCAGCTTTCTTCCACAAGTGAAATGGATGTCCTCCGGGAGGGCTGGTAACACCCCATGGGATTGACCCGATCCTGCTTGCCATGGGCTTCCTTCCCTGGTCTGGCTGGTCTGGCTTGAGCCCCTCCCCCACCTGCAGGCCCTGCAGATGTGCAGAGCTGCCTGGCCCAGTGGGCACCGCTCTCTGATTAGAGGCCTGGAGTGCTGCAGATGGTTCTGCTGTGGCAAAGCTTCCGGCTGCCCTCAGCACAGCTGGCTGGCATTCACGCTCTGACACGCCTTTCCAGACTGAGCTCAGCCAGGTGAGGAGGAGCCCCACTTTTCATAGGTCCAGAGACTGCTTGGCTCATCAGTCCTAGAATGGTAGGATTAGAAGGGACCTTGAAGGTCTTCTAGTCCAGCCCCTGCCCAGGGCCAGAA